TTGATTGCTGAGTTAACACTGTAAGTTTAACCCAATGTACAGCTGGCTTAACCACCTAACAACCTTCAACAAAAAACAGTTACTAAATGCAACAACAAACTGATCCAGCTGGCACACCTTCCAGCTGATATAACTTGCTCCTTAACACGATGGAAGAGTCCAATTTGGAGAAGAACTAATGTGCGAGTAATTGAAGAGAGATATAAGAATTAAACTAGGTGGTGGTGAATATGAATAGTCGTTTTCAACCCATATCCATGTAGCCAGCACAGGTCCTACTAGACCTGGATGTGCTCTCGTCACTCGAAAATACTACAACCATCTTACCATGTAGATTAGGTCTCTTGCGTAATTTTCAAACGGTGCTGCCCAGCATATCTGCTTTATCTCTTTATCCTCCTTTTGAAGACAGAATTATGCATGATGCACCCACATGCATTTCCTCCTTCAATTTTGCAATTCTAATCCCTTCTACTCCAGTACCTCCCATTTTCTCTTTCTCTCTCTCTCTCTTTAAAGAGAAGGTGATAATTACTTGGACAGATATATTTGCTGTCGGACCTACCTTTTTATCTACAGTTATATCATTGCATGTTACAATGTTTCAAATTACTATAATAACAACACTTTGCTTATATTTGTTATACCCAAAATGGAAGTGTGGCGAATAAATATAAATAATTTTATTATTTAAAATAACTACTATATAAAAAATCCAATATAAATACCATTACATTTATAAAAATATGTAAAAAATAAAAAATACTCAGAATTAAAAAACTCACAACAAATAATTGTTTGCTATCAATGTTTACTTTTTTGTTTGATTTTTTTGATAAGATATATTCATTTTTAATAATTTGATCGAAAGTGAAAAAAAAACTTCATGATAACATGTGAATTCAATTATCCAAATGTAAAACTTCTTCAATTTCTTAATTTTTTCCTTTTCTAATCAGATTAAAATCTGTTGTTTTGAACATTGAGTAGAAGAGGAACAAGGAGCTCAAATAGGCAATAGAATTGTTATAAAAACAACATAAAAAGAATAATATAAAAATATTACGAATAGGATATGGTAACTTATTGTTACGAATATGAAGGAATTAAACTCAAAACCTTTCATATTCTTAATAAAAAATACAAAACATATAGAGTGTTAAGAATTTGGCAAACTTTATATAGTTTCTTTTACCTTCCAAATTAAGAGACGTCAATATTTTGGCTTTCCCTTTTGCGTATTTATTCGGGAGATAGGATAGGATATGGTATTAGAACCCAGACCTTACATTTTCATTTTTACACGTGGCATGGACCCACTTTTGCTACTTGTAAATTGGGATGTTTCATGTCTGAGTCAGATACCCCAGCTTTTAACACGCAAACCCACCAAGGTGGCAGTGGCAATACACTCGTCCTCTATACACAGCCAAGGAAAGTCCGCTGTCTTTTTCTTCTCAAAATCTGTGTAGATGTCACACGTGTCAAGCAACAACAAGGTTCCTTACATTAATCTTTTATTCTCGACTTTGTGATATTGGAATCTGAGATACCAGAGGACGGTGGGCTTAACAACACAGCATGGTTTTGTGGTTGATAAAACGAATGATACTGTGTGAATCATCATGCCTAATTACCATCTGGTGTCGATTGTTCTACGTTATGCCGACATTCCACATGATTCTTCCCAGGGTTTGTCTCCCTTGTTCCGCGGCTGCCGTTCGATTCCGATTTCGTTTTTTAATTATTTTGTGTCTCGCAATGAGTATATAATGCATCATTTTTTATGCAAGCACATGAAGATTACGTTTCCAAGGGAAATGAATCTCGTCGATGCGATTTTTAGGGTTTAGATAACGTGATTTGAATGGAAACAATTTATGTGGATATCTGACCCACTGGCGAATGAGGTGAGGGAAAGGAGTGGGTAGAATCAATGTCGCTGGTGCATGCATGCATGCATGGACTGGCAGCAATGGTCCATTCCAGGAGGACCACTTGTATGATGACAAGGAGATAGTTGAATTTTGGCAGAGCTCCCATGTCAATTCTCTGACGTGGCATTCATTCATTGGATAAGGCACGTGAAACCGGGCTCCCCGGATGTGGGAATTAGTAGGTTAAACAAGAAGTTATTCGGAGCGGGTAGCCTCGTTGACAATGGAAAGCGTGAACCAACGAACATTATGTATTAAATTTCTACACAAAACTTAATGACCAAAGGTTCATATTCCGCATTCAAATGGAATTGAATGAATCAAAATTTGAAAACGTAAAACAACACAACAAATAAATCAATGAAACCGAGACTTTTTTTGCATAGTTGAAATCTTTGGAGGAATGGTATTTATTCTTTTACTTTCTTGTTAATGAAGGTGCTGATTGAATGGAATATCTCTCAAATTAACATGCTTACTCAATAAATTTAAAAAAATAAGTTATTGTGAAGAATTAATATTTTCAAGACAATAATCTTTACAACAACCAAATTATTATAAGAATAAATTTTTAATTAAAGGGAAAGAATAGAGTGAGATGTAGGAGGGTAGACGGTGGTCTAGGACCATCGATCATAATCAAAAGATTTAAGAGAAAAAAATGATTTTATTTATAACATTTTAATACATGAATAATTTGTGTTATATAAATCAATGTAGCAACCTACTGGGTGCTTGGGCTTTATTTGGACTTGATTCCGAATGGGTCAAATCCAAGGAATGAATGTCACGGATGTAGATACTAGCAATTATGCTTATAAGAATTGAATCAATTCTGAATATATAAAAGGTTTGTTTGAAGATCTTGTTGTTGAATTAGTGGCCCTTCAATAAGCTAATTTAGTTAAACAATAATATGTAGACTTTGTGAGTTTTTTTTATATGTTCAAACATTTAAAAACTATATTGTATCTCACTTTAGAACGTATACATGTAGCACCACCCTTACGTTCTGAATCAGCCTCCTAATTTACCAAACTTTATCTTCACTTCTAGTAAGACCAGTGATTGTGATGGCTGGCAAAACTTTTATTGGAACGATGACTCATGTGGTTAGTTCTAAATAGCAAAGTTGTAATATTGGTAATCGATGATGCAGATGGAGATTGAGAAGAGTTTTTTGCATTGCGAGGAGCCTATGGAAGTAGAAGATGTTGAATTCAGAGGTTTTTCGTCAGAGAGTTGACATGGGCAGTGTGCCATGCTTCAAGAATATATATATATATATATATATATTTTTTAATTATTGGGCACAAGGATTCTTACTAAGTGGATAGAATTAATATGCATAGTTCTGAGTCTAATAAAACAAGTTATCTCACTACAAGAAAATGAATATAACTGAAATAAAAACTTTGTTGATAAAGATTTTATATATAATAGAAGTAAAGAAACAGAATAATGAACTTAAATGAAGGGGATAAATATTGAAATGATTGGTCAAACTATAAAAATACAATGTTCAAGATAAACACGTGAAGGCTAATGCAAGTGAGATGCAAATGAACAATAGTCAGATATAAAACACAATTTGAATTATGAAAAACATTTGATTATTTAACGAGGATAAGAATTTCATAATTAAATTTTATCTCGATCTGTAGATCAAATACTTAAATATAAAATTTATCTACAAATTAATATATGCTTAAATTTTTTAATTTTTTTAATATGAATTAAACATATCTATCTAGTACTCAGTGATTGTAAAATTATTAAATGTGAACTAAAATATATTTTATCTTCGAAAAAAGTAAAGAAAATTTTGATTTAAAAACATCATATCTTAGTTGATCTAGAACAATTGTATCTTAGTTAGTTCAAAAGTATTATCTATGTGCTACAATATCATTACAACTAGATATTCAAATCATGTAAAAATAATTATTATGTGTGGCTAAAACTATTCACCCAATATATCATGACAATATGTGATTTGCTTCCGTAAAGAAAAAAAACCCAACTATTTCATATGAAGATCATATAAAATGTATAACTCAATTAAAATGATGAATATTGTACTTAAGATTGACTTATAAAGACTCAAAGATCTTATGTAATGTTGTTATTAGAGTAAATACACATTCTATTCCTTTTTACTTAACTGAGATTTTATCTCTTTAGATTTTTTTAGAAAGATTTTTAATGAGACAACATGTTATACGTGGTAAAGATAATTATATTTTTTTCTATTGAAAATTTTTCCCATAGGATTTTATCTTAGTAACATTTTAACAAGATATGTTATTTTCAATGAACATTAAAGGTGAAGTGTTATGAATATTTGTCATTTATGGTGGTCAATTATAATTACAACTTTATGTAATATGAAATTAATATATTTTATTATTAAGATTTTTATGTCTATTAGAATTAGAGTTCTATGTGATATTTACTCTCCATAAATATAGAAATTAAAAAATATTTAATATAATTTATATAGAAAAAAACTTATATCGTTTTTCTAATTATTAATTTATTTTATTTATTTCACAAAAAATTATGTTATGATTATTTTTAACTCTACAAATTACTTTAAACTTTCACTACCATCTTAATCCACTTATAAAATTAAAAAAAAATTACTCATCTCATCAATCAAATTAATTCCAACAAAGTTACAGTGATTCAACAACTGGTCTTGTGGATGATGTAGTAATCTCCATTTTGAATTTTGGATAAATAAAAATTTTTCCATTATTTTTCTGAAATATGTGAAGAGTATAGAAGGGGCTTAGCAAGCGTATGGATGAAGTAGAAAGACGCTCGTCAAAAGAGGCAATTCCCACCACTCATTCGAACCGAGAATAACCAAAGCAATCACCCAAATTATCCATTTCCAAAAAAAAAAAACTAAATGATGCACCCTCCTCTAGTCTTCTTCGTCCACCACCTACTACTCCCTTTTCTCTTCCAAATTCCGTGCTTTCCCATAATTCGCCTGACTAAATTCTCTTCTTCTTATTCTCTTTCGTTTATCTCCATCCTTACAACCTCTGAATCATGACTCCTTTCTCTTGTTTACCTTCTGCAAGAAACACCAACTCCCCTCAAGCATTTCTTTTCAGGAATCCTCATTTATATGTTCCCAGACACCATTACCATGAAACTAAACTGCCCAAGAAAGAAAATCTTGTGTTTGGGCCTCTCCAAGTTCCAGCCAGGCCTTGTCTTCCGTTCTTGAGCTTCAGAAACTCAAGACTCACGCACCCTTTTGCCAACATATCTTCTTTTGCCGATGCGGAAGGCGAAAAAGGGCAAGAAGATGAAGCTAAAGCGAGTGAAGAAGACTTGCCTGGAATGGCTCAAGCTCTTAATATATCTTCCAGTACTGCTTCTGCTATTGCTATATTCATAGCGTTTGCAGCTCTGAGTCTTCCGTTCTTCATGAAGTCTTTAGGTCAAGGAGTTGGTTTGAAGACCAAGTTTTTGTCATACGCGACGCTTTTGTTCGGGTTCTACATGGCTTGGAATATCGGAGCCAATGACGTGGCGAATGCTATGGGAACTTCGGTGGGATCGGGTGCATTGACCCTGCGTCAGGCTGTTTTGACGGCGGCCATTTTGGAGTTCTCGGGAGCGTTGTTGATGGGAACTCATGTGACCAATACAATGCAGAAAGGAATCCTTGTTGCTGATGTGTTTCAAGGGAGGGGTACTCTCCTTTTTGCTGGATTGCTCTCTTCTCTCGCTGCTGCTGGTACTTGGTTGCAGGTGCCTTTCTGAACTATCCCTGATATAAACTTTTATCTGCTTTGATATAAAGTAATGGAGGGCTTATGAAATTACTCTATCAATTGCATAGATCGATCTGTGAAGTAGTTAAGAAATTTGATTACCGTATCATTTGTACTTTTCAGCAATCATGGAAACTGTGAATTAAAGTGTTGTAGATGTTCTTACAGGCAACCTTTTAACCATATGAAACCAGTTGTTCGTCCAACATTTGTTTGTAATTCGTGATGTATTGCCTAGGTTGCATCATATTACGGGTGGCCGGTATCGACGACGCACTGTATAGTAGGATCAATGGTTGGATTTGGCCTGGTTTATGGAGGACCTGGCGCTGTTTTCTGGATGTCTCTGGCAAGGGTTATTTCGTCGTGGGTTATCTCACCTGTAATGGGAGCCTTGGTGTCATTCATAGTCTACAAATGCATCCGCAGAGTATGTTCTTTCTCTTTGGAATTCTATATTGAAACTTCGGATTAACCATATGATCCGGCTTGTTCAGATGTGTTTACAACATGTTTTCTTGTTTACTTAGTTTGTTTACAGTGCTCGTAATCCCGGACAAGCAGCGGCTGCTGCAGCACCAATTGCAGTCTTTCTGGGGGTAACCGGGATTTCTTTTGCAGGCTTTCCGTTAAGTAAGAGCTTTTCGATAGCTCTCGGACAAGCTTTGGGTTGTGGAGCAGTTGGGGCATTCATAGTTTACAATATTATCAGAAAGCAGCTCGGTCATCTCCTTGCCAAAGCCACTTCTTCATCACGCTCGGATCCGGAAGAGAGTACTACTCATATTAAAAATCTTGGCCTTCTCTCGGATGTTGCAGGGCCTAAAGGCACCCAACTGGAAATAGTTTATGGGGTTTTCGGGTACATGCAGGTATTGTCAGCTTGCTTCATGTCATTTGCACATGGAGGAAACGATGTTTCGAACGCGATAGGACCTCTAGCTGCTGCATTATCGATTCTTCAAGGTGGTGCCAGCAACACTGAGATTATTATTCCAAACGATGTTCTTGCCTGGGGAGGATTTGGAATTGTAGCAGGGCTTATGATGTGGGGGTATAGAGTGATAGCAACGATCGGGAAGAAGATAACTGAACTCACACCAACTAGAGGGTTTGCAGCCGAGTTTGCAGCGGCTTCAGTTGTCCTCTTTGCATCAAAACTGGCATTGCCGATATCGGCAACACATACTCTGGTCGGAGCAGTCATGGGGGTCGGCTTTGCGAGAGGATTAAATTGTGTTCGAGCCAAAACTGTTCGAGAGATTGTGACATCCTGGGCTGTGACAATTCCAGTTGGTGCTTCTCTTGCGGTCGTCTACACATTGATCTTAACCAAACTTTTGTCATTTATTTTATGATAACGTATTCGAGAAAATCTGAAACCTTCATGTATGTGATCAATTCGAATCACTCACCCTTTTTTGAAGTATTTTTGTGAAATTGTTATGCCATTGTTGAGTTTATGTGATTTCTTAAACCGGAAATCACTAAATATTTTGGTTTTGGAGAGGACAAAAACTGCATGCAGATGTTGGAAACATTTTAAAAGATCGCCATATTTGTATTTTTCAATGTCAAATAGTTTTCCTTTAGCAGTGAAGTGATCACTGCAACAATGACACAAAATTGAGGACAACAATTGTGTTGGCAATCAAGCCAGAAATCAACAGCTAAAACAAAGAATATCCGCAGCTTTATAAACACAAGATCCATGGCAAACAAAAGCACAAAGGGTGTAATTACTTGGTGCAAAGCAATCAAATATAATACTGCAAATGGCAACTGATGGTCGAATTTAAGGATGACAAAACAGCAATCAATCTGCCAGAAGAACCAAACTAATCCAGGAAATGCATGTTTTTGATTTATTCAAGTTAATATACTTCCCTTACAAGCATCTAAAGGAAATAACAAGCATGTTACCCGAACAGGAGGGTGAACAGAAGCTTGAGGTAGAAAAAAGTCATGGAGAAAGTTCTTGAATAGAAGTTAAACTGGGTTCCCAACCTGATTCGCGCAACATCGATGCCCTCGGGAGTGGGGGTACAAAAGGCTTCTTCACCCCTCTACCTTTCCGCCCTGAATGTTTCGACTCTTTCTCCTTTGGAACTTTAGATGCCTTGGAAGGCTTGGCAACATAGAAGTCTTTTGCTGAATAAACAGATTCCTCCAAGTTTTCTCCAGATATATCCCTAGTGATCCTTGCATCTGGCCTTTCCTCTCTGCCTTCAGCTGCTCGTTTGACCTGAAGCTTCTTTCGGTGTCTACTCTTCAGTTTTTGGACTGTAGAGGATGGGATAATGTAATACTTTTGGCCAGGCAACAGGCGATCTCCAGGACGTAAAAGGGACTCATCAGGATTCGTAAAAACTTCGGTACGTGTAATACACATCCCTGGATGTTTTTTCATCAGGTGAGATACAGGAACAACATTTCGATACAGTTCCTCTTTCCCACCTGCATGAACTATCCTCACATATATATCCCTTGATTGCGAGAAGTCAACTGACATGGGAGCTCCTCGCACATCTTTCTTGTTACCAGAATCCTGGTTCTTATGCTTAACGAACCTGAACAATGCAACACACATCTTCAACATAGCTGTGGATTAAAAGCCACCTGATCCAGATGTTGCATTATATTCCGTTGCATGGGGTACGACGGACCATCCCTTGTTTTAAGGTTGTGTATTCTTCTGCTTAACCCATTTGGATGTCGTTTTGTAATTTTAAGGCCGGCTTCTCTAGTTTAATATTATCCCACAGAAAAATTGATGAAACCAAGAAATTAAACAAGCAACAATGGCATTTTCTTTTGTTATATTCCACAAGAATTCTCAAAGTTATCCACCTAGATTACGAAACTTCCTAGTGAATTAAATTCTTAAGAGCACATCAAGCACATCCTTCTAGCAATATCATATTCCCATAAGCCCGATCGTACCTGTCGCTCCAGCTTCTTCACTCTTCCACTAATCCAATTGTTATGAAGAACCAGACAACCCTGCTTCTTACAGGCTGATTTTACGTCTTCTCTCTCCCATAGCCCCATGTATGCACCGTTTGGGAAAAGGTTTCTGTCCAAGAAATGAACAGTCAAACTTGTCTCAGGTTCCACACATCTATTATCACCCTCACGAGAGGAACCCCCTTCACCACATAACGTCTCATAGAAACTCGGCTGCTCGGATAGGCCAGAAGTTGCAGCATGCCTCACTACCTTTTCCATAGCAGCAATAGTGGGGGCATCAGCACGGGAAAAGTAAAAGCCGGAGTTCAAGCGTCTCGGTAAGTTTATAGGACCTGCAAGGGAACAAGTTCATTTTTCAGAATTATGGAAATGATTAGTTATTCATTTAGTCCAGTAATAGTGCCCAGTGCGATGGTAATAATCACCTGTTTGATTGTATTCATCAGACTGAGCCGCAAGAGTGGCAGGACCGAAAGAGGAAAGCATTGGCAAAGGATTTCTAAACCAGTATACATCCACATCACTCAAAAGTACGTTGTATCCTAGCTTCAGAATCTTTAAAACCAATCTGGATTTCACCTTTGTTACTCTCTGAAAGCATTTTGTTCCAAAGTGGCAATCGTTAAAGCTAATATTACTTGGAGCTGATGGATCGTTGAAGACAGGAAGGCCCTAACACAAAACAGAATCCTTCATTCAGATACATGCTGGAAAAAGGGTCAGCTCAGCTGAAACAATAAAAAAATGATGGTTAAACTAAATAAGAATAAGAGGAAACACCTGCATTACGGAGAACTGATAAGTCTCATAATCAAGTGCAGAAACCAAAAAGTTTGTAATTCTGAGGTGCCTCAATCTGCAGACCCAACTCAGTAACATGTCCTTATAACTATATCCTGCGACTGTGAGCACAACTGTCCGATTCTTGTCTGCAACGATGGCAAGTAGTGATTCCAAGGAAATGGGAAGCTTTAATGTCTTTGTGGGAACTATTTGATCTCTCAAAGAGCAACCTAAAGTTCTGTTCTGCGACTTTATAGTTCCAGCAATGCAAGCCAAAGTTTTCTTTGATCTCCTGCAGTTTGGGATGATCCATAACCTCGTCCTTGCATAGGTACAAGAATGAAGGAAATCTTCTGTAGTATTAATAATAAGGTATTGACCATCACATTTCAGAAGTTTCATCACAATGGAATAGTTAATTCCGTGAAGAGACGATGATCCATATACTGCTGCAAGATGGGAATTGCCATCATATTCCCAACTTCCCTTTTCGATATCTGAAACATCGGAGCTCTTAACTAAACAGTTAGACCAAAGCAGTGAATCGTCCAGGGCAATGTTTGAGATAGTCCAACTGGCATCAAACACGAACCTTAATCCACTGGACAAGGCCTCGTTGATTAGCCAGTGGTTGTAAACTCCCTTCCCATACAGGAAAGGAGGAAGCACTCCATGATGTAAGGGCATATCCCCATTGTTCCATGCTATCACCATTCTACTGTCACAACAATTCCACTGCCAACTTGAGCCTAGTGTACCCTGCAACTGATGAAACGGAGAACGATGTCAAACTAAGTTTCCTCCACTAGATCTCTGATCTCGGTGTGGATTCTATACATACCTCCTGAATTCTTATCCTTTTGCCATCTTTTAGCCAATGTTTCCCATCATTGTCTAGATAGAATGGGAAATTCGAAACATTTCTTGGAGAAGCAAAAAGGAGCCAATCATTATCAAGTTCACGAGCATAATTCAACGCCGAAACAAAGTCAGGCAGGAGAACAGATTCCGTATCCATGAAAATATATATGTCAGATTTAAATGACCGTGACTTTGCCACCATGGAATGAAAGAAAGGAACCCCAAGAAACCTATCCAAAGACACAGCAGAAAGAACCTAATGAAATTATGAACCAGTTGTTACTACAGTTAATCAATGCCCATAAATTCACCCCTAAAACAATTAAGAATGTAAAGATTACGTGAAATCAATATTGGATTCGACCAAAACCCGGGAACCAAAAGAAGTGGCGAAAGAAGCAGCAGAATGGTGTTGACTGAAGAGAATGACTGAGATTTGTGGGGACAAAGCAAGCCATGACCGAATAGCTAGACTCTGTTTAGTCCCTGAAGAACCTGTAAACGGCGTAGGTGCAGTGAAAATAGTAATTTTTGGAGCTTCAAGATCGCTGAAACTTCCATGGATGAAAATTGGATTGTTGGAGAATGGTAAACTCCGAGTAGCATAAAGGGATATTGCAATTAGCAGAACCCCAGATACCCAAACTGACCATAATCCAATCTGCAATGCCTGTATTAACCAAAAGAATTAATTTTTTTCTTTTAAATTAAGAGCTTGATTGCATGTGATAGGAAAATGAAAGATTAATAAGATTAATACGAAAAAGAAAGGACCTTCATTGTGGAGAAGTTCTCAACAGAATGAAGACAAGTTCTTGGTGGGTTTTGGTTTATTTTTGGAATTGTAAAGGAATGATCTGATTGGTAATGGCAAAAGACAAAAAGAGTGGAACTTTAACTGAAAAAATAAGCAATGCAGTGGAACGGGAACGAAGAAAGCAACAAGATCCACGAGGGATGCACTTAACGAGTCAGGTTTTTCAGCACCAGAACAGGGAATACTCACAGGCAATGTGAGGTATTTAAAAGTCAACTCCATTTCCGAAAAGTACTTACTTTGAAAGAAGCAAATCCGGTTGACAGGTCGGTGCTTTATGTACTCTTAGGTAGGGTTTGATTAACTTAAATATTTATTAGAGAATTGAAATCTGTGAAGGAATTAAAATTTGTAGGAATTAGAATCTAATTTTATATTCTGTTTGGTTGGCAGGAAATGAAATTAGAATCCAATTCTATATTCTGTTTGGTTCGCAGATATGTCAGATGAATTTGATTTCAGTAATGTAAAATGACAGAATTACCCTTCTTATTTTTTTACTTTATTTTAGTTTATTTTACAACTTACATATAGTAATATATTATAAAAAATTAAAAAATATTAAATTTTCATTTTATTGATTGATTATTCATTTCAATAAATTATAAAAAGAGAAAATAACCTCATTGACAAAAAATGCATTATAATATACGATTTTAACCAACTTTTTTTGGATTTGCCAAAATGACCAACTAAATCGTAATGCAATCGATAATTCGCAACGCGATCTCCGGTATCGCAAACCAAACAGAATATATTATAAAAAATTAAAAAATATTAAATTTTCATTTTATTGATTGATTATTCATTTCAATAAATTATAAAAAGAGAAAATAACCTCATTGACAAAAAATGCATTATAATATACGATTTTAACCAACTTTTTTTGGATTTGCCAAAATGACCAACTAAATCGTAATGCAATCGATAATTCGCAACGCGATCTCCGGTATCGCAAATCAGTTTCCAGATTCGCAACGCGAACTTCGACTATCGCATTGCGATTTATATATTCGCATTGCGATAGTCCAAGTTCGCGTTGCGATTTATTCCAAGTTCGTTGCGATAGTCGAAGTTCGCGTTGCGATTTATTCCAAATTCGTTGCGATTTATTCCAAGTTCGCGTTGCGATTTATTCCAAATTTGTTGCGATAGTCGAAGTTCGCGTTGCGATTTATTCCAAATTCGCGTTGCGATTTATTCCAAGTTCGTTGCGATAGTCCAAAATCGCAACGACGGTATTACATTTGTTTCTTAAGAATTTTCTCTAAAAAGATAGTATTCGCGCGGACGTGTCGAAGACACGTATTACCACGACCACGACCACGACCACGACCATGACCCGACCCGACCCGACCCGACCCGAGACATACGGCGGCGGCGGCAGCGGCGGTGCGCGAGAGTCCCCCTTGTTCTCTATCACTCAACAAGGAAGTGGGAAAGCCAAGCCTTAAATATCATTCCCAATAGTGTTTCCAATACTATGTGGGATTGAGCATTACCAACACTTGTTCCCAATACTATGTGAGATTGAGCCTTAAATAGTGATATTATTTTTGAATGTTTTGCTTAAAATTGCAATAATCGTGATTAATTGTAGATTGACATTTAATTATGACATATTTAATCGTATAATACTAATGCAATTGGTTGCTGATTCAGTTGTTTTAAAGTGCATGATTGTTAATTGTTTCCTGAATAATCACATTGTATTGGAAACAAGTGTTGGTAATGCTCAATCCCACATAGTATTGGAAACACTATTGGGAATGGTATTTAAAGCTTGGCTTTCCCACTTCCTTGTTGAGTGATAGAGAACAAGGGGGACTCTCGCGCGCCGCCGCCGTTGCCGTCCGTCTCGGGTCGGGTCGTGGTCGTGGTAATACGTGTCTTCGACACGTCCGCGCGAATACTATATTTTTAGAGAAAATTCTTAAGAAACAAATGCAATACCACCAGTCGTTGAGATTTTAGACTATCGCATTGCGATAGTCCAAGTTCGCATTGCGATTTACATATTTGCATTGCGATAGTCCAAGTTCGCATTGCGATAGTCCAAGTTCGCATTGCGATAGTTGAAGTTCGCGTTGCGAATTTGGAAACTGATTTGCGATACCGGAGATCGCGTTGCGAATTATCGATCGCATTGCGATTTAGTTGGTCATTTTGGCAAATCCAAAAAAAGTTGGTTAAAATCGTATATTATAAGGCATTTTTGGTCACTGAGGTTATTTTCTCTTATAAAAATCATGCTAATAAACATTATAAGTTAAAATCATCGCAATCAAAATATGTTAATAAGTTACCAAACGATAGAGCAATATTTCGATACATTCCAATCGGAGTATGTTAATTAGTTACCAAAAACTATTTTTATTCAATATATGAATTAGAAACTCGACCCGACACGACTTAAAATAATAAAAAAAATTATTTTTATTCAATAAAAACATTGACTTAATTGAAAAAAATTATATATAGAGGGGTATTATTGTAATTATTCTTAAATATATAAGGTAAAATTATATATTTTTTTCGGGTCAGTCCGGTTTTTTTCACCCTAACCCCGAACCCGACCCGACCTGACCCGAATATCACACTTAAAAAAACCTGACCCGACTCGACCCGAATATCACACTTAAAAAATCTGACCCGACCCGAACAAAATAAAGTTTCATCCGACCCGACCCGAAAATATGATTTAGAAATCTGACCCGACCCGACCTGAAATAATAAAAAAATATTTTTATTTAATAAAAACACTGACTTAATCCGATCCGACTCGAATTATATATATTTTCGAGTCGGTCCAGTTTTTTTCACCCTAAACCCGAACCCGACCCGATCCGACCCAAATATCACACTTAAAAAAACCCGACCCGAATATCACACTTAAAAAACCCGACCCGACCCGAACAAAATAAAGTTTCATCCGACCCGACCTGAATATATGAATTAGAAATCCGACTCGACCCGACCCGACCCGAAATAATAAAAAATTATTTTTATTTAATAAAACAGTGACTTAATCCGACCCGACTCGAATTATATATATTTTCGGGTCGGTCCAGTTTTTTTCACCCTAAACCCGAATCCGACCCGACCCAACTCGAATATCACACTTAAAAAAACCCGACCCGACTCGACTCGAATATCACACTTAAAAAACCCGATCTGAACCGAACAAAATAAAGTTTCATCCGACCCGACCCGAATATATGAATTAGAAATCCAACCCGACCCGACCTGAAATAATAAAAAATTATTTTTATTTAATAAAAACAGTGACTTAAACGATTCCCCCACGCTCTAAGCATTTTTATTAAATGTTTTCACACTTAAACGGCTATATTATCTTCATTAATTATCACTAACGTTCAGAAATGATTCAAGGTGTATTTAAGCAAGCTTAGAAGTCATTGATCAAAGACAAGAAACATCAAGCAACTAGAATCAAGAGAGAATCAAAGAGAAAGCATCAAACCTCAAGTTCGATAAATTCAAATACTTAATTGAAATACTTAATTAACTCAACATAATTGAAATACTTAAATACTTCCAAGTTTGATAAATTCAAATACTTAAAAACTTCCAAGTTCGATAAATTCAAATACTTAAAAACTTCCAAGTTCGATAAATTCAAATACTTAAAAACTTCAAGTTCGATAATTGAAACAAAGTTTACGATAATTGAAATAAAGTTATAAAATAAACTACATTGCCATCTCTTCTTCATCATCTTCGCCTTCTTCGTTTGGAGGGGATTTCCAGTTCAACTTCTTCAATGTGTAAGTTTGCTTCCAAATCGGCATCAATTGCATCTTCTAGGGTGGTGATATGTTGCTTACGAGCCGCTCCATCCAAATAATCCTTTAAACAAATGCATACTTCCACCGACTCGGGACTTAGTCTTGATCTCCGTTGTGATATAACCCTGCCACTAACAGAAAAGCGGATTCCGAAGCTACCGTAGAAGCTTGGACGGTTAGTAAATCACGGGCCATGGCGGCTAGAATCGGAAATTGTGCTTCCTTTTCTTTCCACCAAGCCAAAATATCCAAACTTTCAAACTCTTCAAATGTCATTTTTGATAGAAAATCGCATGACATGTAATTTCCCAACTCGCTACTTGGTGGTAGTACGTGATCGTTTGGATTGGGAATTTACAAGAGTGTTAAAAAGATTCAAATTTAGTTACTTGGACGTCTACTAGATGATTCCGCATTCATTCTCATTTGATCGTGTATTACACTACTTGATCCGTATTTAGTTAAATAAATTGCAAACATGTCTCGAAAACATTTGTTAAAATAATTATTTGGTTTTGGACAAAGTTGGGTTCATCATCGGTTAGATTAAAGCAAACGCATTTGTTCAATTAGTGTTTCAACCCCACCAACATTTAACGTTGGGTTAAAGCGGCGGCACAAGTAAAAATGGGGGGAATCTCCTTAAAATATTTTAAAAGTTTTTCCTTCATTGCAAAGCCAATTTCTTGAAAAACTTCGGTTTCAAATTCAAAGTCATTTAGTCGGGTAGCCAACAAAATATTTGATTAAGAACCAACAGGCTAGTAGGGTAATAAACACCGGATAAAAAAGTTGTTGCATTTTAAAAACCTCAAGCAAATCGGTTATTTTGGCTATAGTTTCCCAACTCGAATCCGGATAAATGTCTGGGACATGACCCCTCTCGAAAAGCCGATCGTGAAATGTTTGCAATGTTTCCCTTTGCCTTAAGGCAGTATGCATCATCATCCAAGTTGAGTTCCAACGAGTTAGACAATCCAAATTAGGACTCAAAGCTTTTTTATTACAGACTTACAAAATCGTTTATAATCATTTAGTCTTTTGTTGTTGTTACAAAGAATCGATTTTATCATTGTTTAAATTCTAATCTAATTGGCTCAATAACCTCCAAACCGGCTTGCACGGATAAATTAATTATGTGTGCAACGCAACGGTATGAAAAAACGCACCGTCTAAAATCGATGAAAGTAATATTTTCAATCTTGGAACCGCGTTTGTATTATTCGATGCATTATCAAAGGATATAGAAAAACTTTATTTTCTAATTTATAAAGACAAATTACCCGTTTTAAAAGTGTAAATAAATTAGCACCGGTATGCGGCTCACCGATAATTCAAACGCGATTGTTCTTTTCATCATTTGCCAATTATCTTGATCTAACCA